TCTCTCTCTCTCTCTCTCTCTCTCTCTCTCTGTGTGTGTGTGTGTGTGCGTGTGTGTGTGTGTGTGTGTGTGTGTGTGTGTGGAGGGGGGAAAGGGGGAGGTAGGGAAATAACATTCTCGGATTATCCCGATCTTGTCGTCCTCAATGTTTCACTATGATCTGCTTTCTCCTTCTCTTTCTGCCTCTGTTTGTCGTTTTCCCTCTCTCCTTTCTACCATCTCCCTGCTGCGCAGGGACGACCAGCAGGGCAAGGATGACAGTAATTTTTCATTATGACTATTATTATTATTATTATTATTAAAAATTTGGACCATTTCTCGATTATGCGTGTCATCCTTGCGCAGGGCCTATGCTGGTCTTCTTTCTCTACATCGTTGTAATTTTACAGGATGTGCCCAAAGGACATGAGGCGCATAAATGGAGAATGGTATTTTTTTCTTCAGAAAAAAAAAAAAAAAAAACTCTAGCCAATCTGTCTTCGCTCTCGTGTAGATCTCATTAGTTTGGACCTCACGGTCTCCTTTTTTTTTTCTTTTTTTCTGAAGTTCATCACGTGGTGTTGTGCGGAGGTGAGTGGTTCCCTCGATTTTTCATATATATATATATATTTTTTAATGTGTTTCCCTTGATTGTCGCTCCATGTATGGCCGCATGAGTGAATTTTGTCCTTTATAGAGTACCAGTCCCCTCCTCCCCCTCCCCCCCCCTCCCTTTTCCGGCTATTTATTTTAGGAGCCTACTGGTTATTGGAGACAATTGATTGTCTAATTTGTCAATTCGGAGTCATGGACAATTAAAAAAAAAAAAAAAAAAAAAAAAAATCATGGACATGAGGCGGGGAAGATCAAGACGAAACTCAGGGCATACTGAGTCTCACAGTAGCACTTCGTTTGATGTATCTCACTCACGGCAATTACGGCCTGATGTGGATGTATCTGGCCGCAATCACGTCCAGAGCGTGGTAGAATAAGTCCTCGTGTGAGTATGCCGCTTGTTATATAAGAGAGAATGGGGGCGAAACTCTGAGTCAGCACTTTGTTGGATCCACTATCTAAACGTGCAAACTGAACTTTCACCGATAGAACAGTGAAGGAACAGTGAAGCTTCGCGTGCTGATCTATTCACACAACAAAGCCGATTTCCATAGCATTTCACTGGCGCCAACTCTACCATATATGTTTTTTTTTTTTTTTGTCCCCTTCTACCATATATTGCACTGGCTCCGTCAACAACAAATCACAGAGCTCTTCTCACTTTTTTTTTTTTTTTTTTTGGCAGCTCATAGAAAATAAAGAGAAAGAAGAAGAAACTTCCTCTCTCACAGTCACTAATTAGCGTATGCAGGTCTCTCTCTCGAACACCAGACTCAAAAGAGTCCCAGGGGAAAAAAAAAAAAAGTCCTAGGGAAAAAAGAGTCCCAGGGAAAAAAAAAAAAAAAAAAAAAAGTACCAGCCGGGAGGTCGTTGAAGCAGCAGTCTTAGGGGGAGAGGGTACATTCACAAGAGGATTTTCGTGGATGTATCTGGAGGGAATTACAGCCAAATTCATTCAGGAACACGGCTGTGGCGAACCGCTGGCGGCCCCAACACTGGGGTCATCTGGATGGGGCCCCCCACATCTGGATGGTCTGGACCACATTTGGACGTCGGGATCTGATGCGGTCCAGTGGGTTGTCCCGCAACAATTTTTTATTCTCCCCCCCCCCCCCCCCACAATCAGGTTGCCAATTGGAAGTGATCCTCAGGGTGGGTAGAAGCCTTGAAGCCTTTTCCTTTCCCCCTCCTTCCCCTCCTTAAGGTGACGGCCTGGAGATTTCATCATGAGAGAAAAATATATATACGTACGTAAGAGGTGATGGATGAACAGGCGGGGCTTTCCTTCCTTCTTTCCTTTTTTTTTTTTTTTTTTTTTTTTTTTTCCGCCGCCTTTTCGCTCCGATTCACAGTGTGACAATATATAGCTGTCCCCCGATGAGGAGAAGACAGCTTTTGACAGATTTTTATTAAAAAAAAAAAAAAAAATTCATCATCAAACTGACCGGCCCCAGGTAAGTCAGAGTTATTTGAATTGATTTCACTCATTTAATAATTTTAATTCCATCAGAATTCGAATTACCAACAGTTACATTTGACATGAACGTGGTAAAACCTTTTTACATGGCAAAAAGGTAAAAAAAAAAAAAAAAAAAAAAAAAAAAAAAAAAAACATGGCAATGCAGCAGAGCCCTTCTCTCTCCCCGTCCCCCCCTCCACCACACACACACACCTCTTCCCCCCCCTCGCCCCCTCCTCTCCTCCCCCCTCCCCCCTCCCCCCCACACACATTTTCTCTGTATTTGTTTCTGATTTCTTCCCAGTTTTTTCCTCCCCTTACATTATTCACGGGGGATTTTTCGCTCTCTCTGTCTCTATTTAATATGTAGGTTTTTCTATTAGCACTTGCAAACAAGATTTCAAACAGTTGATATGTTGTGTTGTCGGTAAAAAAAAAAAAAAAAAAAGAAAGATATGTTGTGTTGTCGTTGATTCTTCCGTTTTTTCGTTGTGTATGCTTCGTGGAGCACAGCCTCAAGTGTACAGCCTCATTCATGAGATTGCAGGGGCTGTGAGAGGGAGAGAGCGGGATCAACAAAGAGAAGGAGAATATATTGAGCATGCAACGTAATGTAATCTCCGCTTGCTCAAACTGTCGCAGTCGAGGGGTCTTAAAGACACCCCCCCACAACGACTTTTTTGCTCCTGTCTTCTATCATGGCAGAAAGGCTCCTCCTGTTTCCACATTTGCTGGATATCTGTTGAGCTATGGCAGAAAGGCTCCTCCTGTTTGCACATTTGCTGGATCTCTGTTGAGCGCAAGCATCAGGAAGACGAATCTTGAAGAACAAAATACTTTTAAATTTAGACAGAGAAAAGACCCCCCCCCCCGCTTGGCCCATTCGCTGTCATTTACTATTTTGCCCTTCTCCCCGACGGCTTGGCTGCAAGAGATCTTCAGTTCGATCTAATTGCCTATTGAATTAATAATATCTGATTCTCCAAATCTCCTCCTCCTTGACCACGTGGCGGGTCGTTTAAAAACAGGAGGGAGATCAGGAGGACGTCCGCCGCTCCCGCGTGCACACCGCGTTTCAGATCCGCTGCTGCTGGGAAGAGTTGCTGTAGCTGTGACGAGGGTGGGTCTTAAGACCCCCACAACTACTCTTTTTTTGCTCCTAATATACATATATATAGCTTTCGGCGGACTGAGGAGGAGAGAGCGAAAGTGAGGTCAGGAGAGAACACTTTGGCGTTTCAGGCTCGCTGCGGTTTCTATAAATAGCTTGCCTTCTGAGGGCAGCGAAGGAATGCGGCTGTCAAAGGTTATTTAGATCAAATTCAGATTTCTCAAATTCTTAAATATGAACAAGAGCTGTTGAAAGGAACAATTGATCCAAGTTTGCTTTCTGCTATTGCACAACTGGTCGTGTCGCCCGGGCCAGAGACAACAGGAGGGAAATGGCGGCGGCTGACAATCATCATCATCATCATCATCATGACGATTCGTACGTCGGGATCCCAACCTCTGTTGAGGAGCCAGGGCTTCCGCAGTCCGTCGATGTCATCAAGATGACAGTCGATAGCGATCCCGATCCATACGTCAACGTCGTAGGTGTCGGCTCCAACACCGTTCTAGGGGTGGGGTCTATCTATGGCGGCGTGTCACGGGCAGCATCGAGTAGCCAGACTGAGTCGGATTCGTTTCCTGTGTCTCCTGTGCTCTGTAGATCATTTTCTGAAGATTGCACCCAGCCTCTCCTCGAACAACGTCTCCCAATGTTGCCTTCTTTCTCCAGGAATGGCGTTAATGGGGTTATTAATGGGGTTAATGGGGTTAGTAATGGGGTTATTAATGGGGTTAATGGGGTTAATGGGGGGGGTGATTGGGTTAATGGGGGGGGTGATTGGGTTACTGATGTCGACGAGCACACTTTAAGATGCTGTGCAAGAGGCTTCTTCTTTCGGTACTTGAGGGAGATGTTCTGCTCCATGCTTCTGGGCTCCAAGCTGAACGTTTTGCTGCTGTTTCTACCAGTAGCGTTCTACGCCAATGCCAAGCAAATGGACAGAGGGTGGATTTTCGCCTTCTCGTTGCTTCCGCTGGCTCCACTTGCAGAGCGCCTCAGCTTCATCACCGACCAGATTGCCTTGTCGACTAATCCTATGGTGGGTGGCCTTCTGAATGCCACTTTCAGCAATGCCCCCGAGTTAATCTTGAGCATCGTTGCCCTGAAGGCCGGGCTCTTTCGTGTCGTGCAGCTGTCGCTACTCGGTTCAGTGCTGGGCAACATGCTACTTTGTCTGGGATCTGCATTCTTTGCCGGCGGAATCACGCACAAGGAACAGAAATTCAATGGAACCGCATGCATGACAAACACAGGTATACCTCTCTCTCTCTCTCTCTCTCTCTCTCTCTCTCTCTCTCTCTCTCTCTCTCTCTCTCTCTCTC